TGAACATTCTGCCTTCTTATTTCAGCTTTTATATTATAAACAGGTGTGATCTATTTAGTGACACATTTCTTGCATTTTTGTACTTTCTGTTAGTGCTGTTGCTGTTTAAAATGCCTCCCCAGCCCTGTGGGGCTCAAGAGCTGCCTGGCTCTCCTGCGTATGAGAAGGCTGTGATGTGCCTAAGAGAGAAAATATGCATAATAGGGAAAATTTGTTCAGGCATGAATTATACTCTTATTGCCATGAGCTGAGATATAATTCATCAATAACATATACTAAATAAGGTCTCTTTAGTCTGAAACACATGTAAAACCAGGTTATATATAACAAAAATGTCATGAGCAGAGGCTCACAGGAACACGACCTTGTATTTGCCCGAGAAGCAATGGTTAAGCATGCTCTAATTCAGTGTTGGTGACTTTATAGAATGTAACAACTGAATGACCAGACCTGCCTCTATGTAGCCCACACCAAGTCCAGAGCATGACTCAAACCCATTCACTTCCCTTCACCGCTGTGCTATCATCCCAGGCCATCATCTGTTGCCTCTACAAAGTTTCCCCACTTCCAATCACACACCACACTTCCCACTTCTCAATCTATTCTCTTAAAATGGGTTGCCCCAAAAACTTCTCAGTGACTTCCAAATGCACGTGCGATCAAGTCCAAAGTCCTTAATGAGCTCTCACGATTGTTCCACATGCCCTACAACCCCTCCTGCTCCACATGGGCACCAGTCTCCGGATCTCATGATATTCCAGGCAGGCAGGTGTACTGCTATTGTTGAGAGCCTGAGGCTTTTCTGGCACAAGGATTCCAAACTCAGTTTTCTCGTTGTTTCTCTATACTCTATGCTTGCCTAACTTCCACCCTATTGCGGTTTGACTGTTACCTCCTTAGAAAGGAGAGCTCTAATCCAAGTGGAGTCCTTCTATCATTATATGTCCACTGCGCCCTCTCTAGTCTACCTGTATTTCCCTCATACCATCTCCAATTTACCACTGATAATAATGTTTGCTTTACCAATAGATTGTAAGCCCCGTTCCATGAGTGCAAAACTATGCCTTTTTAGTTTGCACAAATATTTGCAAAATAAATGAATTTTACTATCCCATTCCATTAAAACAAACTCAGCATGACTGTGTTTAAAATATGTGAAAGGACTGAAACACAGATTTGGATGTAGCAATAATGTTTATAAATGAACCTTAATTATAAGCAAAACACTGAGAATTTCAGGTGCTACTTCAATGAGTCTCTGTCCATTTCCCTCCCCCACATAACATCAAATATGTATTTACTTTACCAATTACCCAAGACTAAATGTATTAGTGAGCAAATAGCATTACTGCAGAGACCACACTAATGAAAGAAACAGTTAATCTGTTTGGTCCATCTGTTTGCAAAGTTCATATAAAATTAAAGTTCTAATATAATATTTGCATCAATTCCACAAAGCTACTTTATTATAGGGTAAAAAAATGGGCAAAAGGATAGAAGCTTGCATTTCATTTAATAATTTTTCCTATTTAGTAGTTCCATAGTTTGTGTTTTTCATTTTTTTTACTCATTCTCCAAAAAATTCAAATCAAAATCTAGTAAATGTTACCTAACTTTTATATTAACCTTACAATATTTTTCCTGAAAATACGGGGGATATACACTATTCTGATAATCAAGAAGAAAGTTCTTAATTTTTCTTCTCTGAAGAATCTTTGGCCTTTTCTAATGTAATTTAGATAATAAAGTCTTGTTCTACTTTGAAAACAAAGAAAAAAGTCTAATTTCATTCTTTTTTAGCACTGAAGAACATGTGTAAAAGAATTTTCAAGCAAATTTAAACATATGAATCAATTCCAAATTCCTTTGTGCATAATGAATCATCTCATAAAATTTTCGAGTAACAAATATTTTCTCATATTTAAAAGTCTGTCACAGCAAATAACATCCATTATATGTTTTTCTTTTTTTCTTTGAGATAGGGTCTCTGCGACCCTCCTGTCTCAGGCTGCCAAGTAGTTGGTACTACAGTTGCCTGCCACCTGCCCAGTTAATTTTTCTTTTAAATTTTTTGTAAAGACCTATGTTGCCTAGGTTGGTCTCCAACTCCTGGCCTCAAACAGTTGTCCTTCCTCAAAGTTCTGGGATTACAGATTTGAGCCACTCTGCCCAACCCAATCTAGGATTTTTAACTACACAACATCCGGTTTGGCTTTGATCTTACTTTTACAAAATTACCCATTTTAGTATGTATACAAACAAATGACAGCACAGAAAGTATCTGGAAAAATCTTTTACTTTTTTGTAAACCTCCCACCACTCAATCTAAAAGACCACTATAAAGTCATAAGCTTTCTTACTTGCTTCAACCTTCAACCGTTCAAATCATTCTCAGTGACCCAATCACGGCCTGGCCATGTGGTTTCTTCATCTTTTTCATATTTCATCTGTTTCAGGTAAATTATTAGAAGCCAGCTGTCTTCTAAGATCTAGACTAATTTTCAACACTTTCACTGGGTATCTTTCCCAAACTGACAGCCATGATTTTAATTTCATTATCAATTTACTCATTACATAATCCTGAAAAAAGTGAGTCACAAAGTCCTCCAACATTACATTTTGCTGCTATCAATCTGTGACCTCATAGATTGAAATAATTCTTTATTTTTCAACCTTTTACCATCCCAATGATTAGCATTTTCATAGTTACCTTCTTAAAACTAAACCCTCTGTAGTAAGAAATTAAATGTTCTTCGTGTACAAATACCAGATATTTGATTCAGTTTCTACCAATGCATTTCAAATAAGCACATGATAATTTTCTAATTATTTCTCCATAAAAATTAATATTCACTCAAAAATCAGTAGTTTCAAATGCACTTCACTTCTTTAATGTTTTCCCCTTTTTCAGTGCTTTTTCAACCTAGAAACACTTCACAATCAAATTCTTCCTAGCTATCTAACATCAAAATACCAACCACCAAAATTCTACACGTCATAATTTCTTACTTTTTCTGACTGTTCCCTGGTCTTTGTGTACTTACTGAGAATAGATGTTTACCAAAGAACGTGCTCTCTCAGCATATGGAGGCTGGTGGCAAGGCATGTTGATGATAAAGATGATGGAGTCCAGTCTGGTTTTTTCCACACTGTTATTTTAACATTGTCATTTGACTTGTTTGGTGAATTTTCAAAAATTTTTGTGTTTGGGTTTCAATATACTTTCTAAAAAAGTTCCCACAAAATAACTGACTATACCCATAACACTGAACAGTTGAAGAATAAGAAATAACATACATTTATCTGAGATCATCCAGAATAAATGATTCCAGAATAAAAGTCACAATTTTTAGAAAAATCAATGTTGTTAATAAGAAAATATGAAGGCTCTAAGACTTATCCTACTTGCAATTTAGGATGCCACAGTATCTCTGCCTAGAAGATAAATTTTAAACTCAGATGTATGAAAGCTTTCTACCATCTAGCCTCAAGTTAGTTTTCTCCCTCCCCAAACTATTTTTAAACATGACCACTTGAAACCATGTATGGGTTTACAGGTTTATTTTCTGTCTCTTCCACTAAACCCAAGTTCCGAGCATGCAGAGGCCTTATCTATTTCATTCATGCCTATATAATCCAGTACAGAGCATGAAAACTCATACAGGAACTACATACTAAATCTTTAAGTGACTTTAGAAATGTTTAAATGTCATTTGCCTGTTTCTAGGTAAAAGCCTACACACTACTCCTCTCTACCTCCCTCCTCTCACCAATACACATCTTAAACCCTGTATGAATTTCTACTGCCCCAATGACTCACATGGGTCCCCGTCTCACAAATCTTTCTCCAAGTAATTTACTTATAGAATTTTATTTAATTTTTGCTGCCCCATATTATTTTATCCAAATAAGAAAAATTAGAAACTAGGCTGAGTGCAGTGGCTCACACCTATAATCCTAGCACTCTAGGAGGCAGGTGGTTTGGTTGAGCTCAGGAGTTTGAGACCAGCCTAAGCAAGAGTAAGACCCCATCTCTACTAAACATAGAAAAATTAGCCAGGCGTGGTGGCAGGTGCCTGTAGTCCCTGCTATTTGGGAGGCTGAGGCAAGATGACTGCTCAAGTCCAAGAGTTTGAAATTGCTGCAAGCTATGATACCAGGACACTCCACCCTGGCGGAGGAGGGGAAAGAATGAGTCTCTGTCTCAAAAAAAAAAAAAAAATTAGAAAGTAAAGCTTAAAGAGGTTAAGAAACATGTATAAAAGCCTCATCCCAGTCTAGGATTAGGATTAGGTCTGTCCCACTGCAGTGTCCCTCTTCTCAGCCCTCTTTCAGACTGCACCCTTAGCTCAAATGGTTCTTACATGATGTCCCTAACTCAAAGCCCAGTGCTACTACATGGTAATAGTGTGACCTTAAGGACCCTCAGGTGGTATACTGATAAAATGAAGTAATTATAGTACTTACCTCAAAAATGCGTAAGGTTTAAATTCATGAAAAGCACCTAGCACAGTGCACCAAACAGAAGAAACACCAGAGAAAATGTTTATTATCATTACTACATTCCTCTAAAAAAGAGGTCAGCAAATTGTTTCTGTGAAGGCCAGATAATAAATACTTTAGGCTTTATGAGTCATTCAATCTCTGTTGCTATAAGTCCCGGCAGCAAGCTGCATTTGGCCCATGGGACACAATTGCCAACCCCTGTTCTAAGCTGAGTTCTTCAGTCTCAGCGTCACTGACACTTGGGGTGGGTAACTGCCGTGGGCCCTATGCTGTGCATTACAGGATGTTCAGCATCATCCTTGGCCTCTGTCCACTAGAAGCAAGTAGCACCCCCCAGGTTGTAACACTCAAAACATCTCCTGGGGCCAAAATCACCCCATGTTGAAATACTGAGAGCTCTACAGTAATTAAACACATAAAAGGATATTGACTGAATTTTCCAACAAAGAAAATAACTAAGCATAATTTAACACACTAAAAGAATTTATACTCACTTAGCTAAAATTCCCACACTTAGGAATAACTTTATAACTTCTGTGATACACACGGCTGTGGTTGAAAAGTAGAGTTCTTTGTCTGATGTCCTTGTGTATCTTAAAGCTATGGTATATGCTGCAGCCATCAGGGTCATCACTGCCAAACAGTATAACTTGAATAATAAACTGACACTTTCTGGAAAATACACACAACAAAGATGTTGTTTAGTAAACAATACTACATACATAAAAGTTAACTAACTAGTTATAGCCCAACATACTTCCCAATTTCAAGCAAAAAATATTTTTTTTAATTTGTAACATTTAGAAATTCTACTTCAGGGCAGCACCTGTGGCTCAGTGGGTAGGGTGCCAGCCACAGATACTGAGGGTGGCAGATTCGAACCTAGCCCCAGCCAAACTGCAACAAAAAAAATAGCCTGGTGTTGTCGTGGGCGCCTATAGTTCCAGCTACTCAGGAGGCTGAGGCAAGAGAATCGCCAAAACCCAAGAGCTGGAGGCTGCTGCGAGCTGGGACATCACAGCACTCTACCGAGGGCAACAAAATGAGACCCTGTCTCTAAAAAAAAAAAAGAAAAAAATTCTACTTTGAAACAATTACTTGAACACAAACACACCTATAGAAAACACAGCTGTCTTTAAATTATCAACAAGTCAGGCATAGATTTTGTTCCTGAGGAGAGCCCCAGTCACAACAATATGTGGCATACTGACTATAGTACAGGATAGTATAAATTGTATACTTAAATATCTTTACCTGGCTCAGCATCCATAGCTCAGTGTGTAGGGTGCCCACTACATACACCGAGGCTGGCAGGTTCAAGCCTGGCCTGGGCCTACTAAACAACAATGACAACTGCAATAGCAACAAAAATAGCCCAGCGTTGTGGCGGACACTGATAGTCCCAGCTACTTGGGAAGCTGAAGCAAGAGAATCGCTTAAGCCCAAGAGTTTGAGGTTGCTGTGAGCTGTGACACTATGGTCCTCTACTAAGGGTGACATAGTGAGACTCTGTCTCAAAAGAAAAAAAAAATACTAGGTGGTGCCTGTGGCTCAGTGGGTGGGGCGCTAGCCCCATATACTGAGGGTGGGGGGGTTCAAACCCAACCCCGGCCAAACTTCAACAAAATATAGCCGGGCGTTGTGGTGGGTGCCTGTAGTCCCAGCTACTTGGAAGGCTGAGGCAAGAGAGTTACTTAAGCCCAAGAGCCAGAGGTTGCTATGAGCTGTGACGTCACAGCACTCTACTGAGGTTGATGGAGTGAGACTCTGTCTCTTAAAAAAAAAAAAAAAAAAAGAAAATACCCTTACCACTACAAACTTGTAAAAGCAAAGAAGGGAAGCAGAAAGAAAGCAACTGCAACAATACATATTCTAAATTTAAAGAGAGCAGAAAGAAAACAAAAGAAATAATTGAATAATAAAAGTGGGACTTATTATTATCATAATAAAATACAAACTACACCTAGCTTCTCATTTCATTGCATTATACAGAAAAACAATTCATAACACACAAAAAGAATATTAAGAACACAGCTCTAGGCTCAGCACCTGTAGCTCAAACAGCTAGGGTGCCAGCCACATACACGAGACCTGGCGGGTTCAAATCCAGCCCAGGTCTGCCAAAAAACAACAACTACAACCAAAAAATAGCTGGGCATTGTGGCGGGTGCCTGTGTTCCCAGCTACTTGGGAGGCTGAGGCAAAAGGATCACTTAAGCCCAAAAGTTTGAGGTTGCTGTGAGCTGTGACACCACAGTACTCTACCCAGGATGACAGCTTAAGACTCTGTCTCAACAACAACAAAAAAAAGAACACAGCTCTATAAAACTTGAAATGCAGAAAAGATACAACTTATTCACAATTTAAGAACTGCCTACAAGTCTATCTTGGCAGCAGCCATCATCCAGATGCCAGTACCCATCCAATGCCTCTGGTACCCACATGAGGTGCCAAGCCTCCCTCACACTTCCTTTCCCAGACCTGCTCTGATACCACCATCACTCAAGGCTTAAACTATTTCTCTCTTTTTTTTTTTTTGAGACAGAGCCTCAAGCTGTCCCCCTGGGTAGAGTGCTGTTGCATCACAGCTCACAGCAACCTCCAACTCCTGGGCTCAAGCGAGTCTCCTGCCTCAGCCTCCCAAGTAGCTGGGACCACAGGCACCCGCCACTACACCCAGCTATTTTTTGGTTGCAGCCGTCATTGTTGTTTGGTGGGCCCGAGTTGGATTCGAACCTACCACCTTAGGTGTATGTGGCTGGCGCCTTAGCCACTTAAGCCACAGGTGCCAAGCCACTATTTCTTTCTTTACCCACCTCCTGCCTCCCATCTCCTATTTTCCTTAAACTCTAAATCTGCAGGCTCACATTAAACAGGGATCAGCAATTATTATTTGTAAAGGGTCTGAAGTAAACATTTTAGGCTTTCTGTGGCCATACTTTGACAACCCCACGTTAAGAACCACAGGACCTGAAGTGACTCCAGCCTGCTACTATAATATTCTATGCTAAATCTGCTTCTGCTACTGCTTTGGGAGCCCAATCACAATTCCAAAATGACTTTCATAGAGAAATTAAATAAGAGTCTCAAACAGATTATCCTTAGATAGAGTAAGGTAGTAACTTAGAAGAAAATAGGCTCTTCAATATAAATATTTTCCTGAGTGAATTAAAGAATAATTCATAAATTGTAGACAATTTTAAAAATTCACATCAGGTCTTAACTAAAAAGTAATATGGCAGAACAGAAGAAATAGAGTTTATAACTGTCTAAACTTTCCAAAAGATCTGAGAAGCCAAAAACAATGTATATACAAGAGGAAGTGAAGGAGATCACTGTAATACTTCTGGTCTCAAACTGTCCCACACAAGAGAAAGACACATAACTTCAAAAATAAACAGTGGCTGGACACGGTGGCTCACACCTATAATGCTAGCACTTTGGGAAGCTGAGGTGGAAGGATTATTTGATGTCAGGAGTTCAAGACCAGACTGACCCATTTTCTACAAGAAATAAAAAAATCAAACGTGTGGCAGGTGCCTGTAGTCCCAGCTACTTGGGAGGCTGAGGCAGGATTGATTGGACCCAGAATTTTAAGGTTGCTATGAGCTATACTGACACCACAGTACTCTACCCAGGGCCAGAGAGTGAGAACTTGTCTCAAAAATAAAAACAAAAACAAATTAACCTTTAATTATTCAGTATAGGAGAATGCGCGTCCCATATCAATCAGGGGTAAGAAAACTACACTTGTCCCTAATTTTTATAAGGCCTACAAGCTCAGAATAGTTTTATTAAATACATTTTCAAATTGTTGGGGCATAATTTTAAATAACATTTGTGATACGTGAAAATTATATATAATTCAAATTTTAGTGTCCATGAATAAAGTTTTCATGGAATATAGCCAGGATAATTTGTTTCCAAATTGTCCTTCTGGGCTACTTTTTCCCCTACAACAGTAAAGTTGAGCAGTTATGACAAGAAACCATCCATCTGGCCCTTCACAGAAAAGTTTGCTAACCCATGTCCTAGATGATCAACATCTTCATAAATAAGAGAGGTTAGTACTGCCAACTAACCTCTTGATTCTTGATTCATTCTTGATTCCAAAAATAACATAGTGAATATTAAAACATTAACCAAATATTTATTGCCTGCAAACATATTCTAACTATTATTCTATCATCAACTTGAAAAAAATACCTACTTGCA